CTACTTACCAGCTCTGTGTAATGGTTTTGCACAGAGCAGCCCAAACTTCCTCTTCTGGTGTCAACTGCCAGTGTTCCTGGCTACTCCTCCTTCTGAGTGCCCCGCTTGCTATGGGGGCACTCGTGTGGGCTTGATCTCGAGCCAGGATGTGTGTATCTATTGATACACACAGCTTGGCTTGGCCCCACTCCCTGCTCCCGCCTCACAGGATTTGATTGACAGCAGAAGGAGTGAATGACTGTCGCTGCTGCCTCCATGTCCAGTGAGGAGAGAGAGAACAGAGCTGCTGCTCTTGGGCACAGCTCTGGTTTGAAATCAAGCTCAGTTAAGTACAACATAATTAGCGGGGGCTGAGAGGGGAGCTGGTCACAGCAGGTTTAATACCTTAAAACAGAGAATGCATTAATGTAAAAAAAAATCCTTCTTCCTCTACATCCACTTTAAAATCTAAGGCTGGCCATGCACTGTAAGAAATTTCTCATAAGTATATTTGAGAACTTGATGAATGTCGTTCAAAAGCACTTCAGAAAAGTTTACTTTAACATTTGGACTTGGAATCAATGGACTTTCCCAAACAAAAGTCACATTCACTATTACAAATGTATTCATTTGAGAATTTTGTGTCATCCTGCACCTTCCAGTTTTCTCATCATTGTGGTAGAAAATCAACATTGATTTGACCATATTAACTTTCAGAAATTCAAACATTCTTAAAACTAATTTTTTTGAATGAAATTCTACTAGTGTATGGCCAGCTTAATTCAATCCATTTTTAATAAAGTGGGGAAGAGTTATACTATATTACAAAATTATTGAGGGAGAGGTTGTCACTTGCACTGGAGGAAACAGAGAGCAATAAAAAGATTGTGGAAGTTCAGAAACTTCCTCATTCTACTCAAAATGTATTTTTATGTTTTGCTTTTTGAAGAAACAAGCCATTACTTCCTCTCAAGAAACAAGGGGAAATCTCCCTAGTAGTGACACAGAAAACAATAAAACCCTTCCCTGCTCAGTATAAAACAAAATAAAAAGTTTTAAAACATATATATGGACAAAATGTAAAATCATATATTCCTGTTTCAAATATTCACTATGCCCTGTGTGTAGCCCTGCTGTGTCACACATTTTACAGAGCCTGCCTTCTGAACTACAGAGGTGCTGAGTGGAGGAGTTTCAGGAGTGGTGGAGTCAGTACAGGAATCACTGATTGCGGCCAGCAAGGTACCATGGGATATATAGTTCTTAGAAATTGAATGTAAATAGCAGGGAAGAAGCTGCAAGGCTTGCAGGGAATCCATGAAGTTGTGGAAAGAGATCCCCAAAAAGGCAGCACTCACAACATGAAAGGAGATTTTTCAAATAAGCTCATATTGGATTCTCAAATATAACTATTGCTGCCATTACAATGCTGTTGGTGTAAAATGAAAGTGTATGCAGTGACTGGCTTAAAGAGGGCTTCCACTGAGAAGTGAAGGAAGCAGGAAGTAAAGAAGCTGAAATATAAAGAAATGTCATGATGATCGTCTCCTCCCCTTACTCACATATATCACAGATTTCCAATGCAAGGTCACTAGGGCTTGATTCTGCTGGAAGCAGCAGTAGTGTAAGTAAAGACAGAATAATGCACAAGCTACACTCGTAATATTAACAAAATGGAAAGTTTTAAACAGTGTGGACATAAAATTTAGCGCAGTCTGTATTCCCATTTGTGGGGCTCATTCTCCCTGGCAACTGTTATCCCTGGGACAGACAGTGAAAGGCAATCTAAAAGTTTATATATGTCACCAAAACAAGAGTAGAGGGGACATTTCTCACTGGGGGCTCTAGAGAAAACTGTCAGAAGTGGGATTGCTCCTTTCTTTGTTTAGATTAAAGTGGTTCTAAAGGCTCAAGGTTTTTTTTACCTTTATGCATACCTTTGTATGCATGAAGATAAAAAACGTTCTGTGCGTAGCAGCCCCCCCCCACCCCACCTAACACTTCTATGAGTACCATACTGATCCAGGGATGTGCACGAGAGCCACAATGTCCACGGCTCTCTGGGAACTCTCAATCCTGATTGGCTGAGCAGCAACAGGAGCCATTGGCTCCCGCTGCTGTCAGTCACAGCCAGTGAGCCAATCAGGACAGGGAGGGGTGGGGCCAAGCCATAGCTCTGTGTGTGAATGGAGGGGGGGGCAAATAGTGCTGGTGGGGGACCCAAGAAGAGGAGGATCTGAGCTGCACTGCAGTAGAATGCAAGAGGCTAATATTAAGTATACTGCTCATATTAACAAAATGCATTTAAAGTGCTTGTAAACCCCTGAAATAAAAAATGAACAAAGCATACCCTTCTATAATGCGTGCTTGCCTAAACCCAAAAGCACCTAGTAAAGTTTCTGTCTACTCTGTCATTCCTTTTTGCTTAAGTCACTTCTGACAGTCTATGCTGACACCATACAGTTGTGGGAGAAAGTCCCAACCTCCCTCCAGCACACAGCAGATGATTGACTTCCTGGATGTTTGACACTGTGTAGAAGGGGGTGTGTCCATTTCCTCCACTTAGGTCTTAGATTACACTCAGTTCCCTGCTCTATGCAGTGTGTGACAACAGATCCCCGCCCCCTGCCTCCTGAAGCTCAAAAATTCTGTGTAAGCTGGACACTTTGAACAGCTGAAGAGGGGAGAAGGCTGCAGATAAACAGGTACAACTAATGCAGGAGGATTTGTTTCATCTCTGCATATAACCTGAGGTTAGTCACTCCACTGGGTATATGTAAAGGTTTACAATCACTTTAATCATTTATTTATGATAACGGAGCTGCAATAATTTATGTCTTTTATATCTGCCTGAAGGTCAGCTTTTAGCTCTTGTGTAGACAACTGTCAGATTCATCCCATTGACTTCTTGAGGCACACAAATTCCTATGCAGGATTGTTTAACACAGGCTAACTATTATCATCAGTATTATTATCCACTGCTAACATTTGTTTGCACAGAAATGTTAAATACCTTTTTTTCAGACCTTTGCATTCAGTTTACATACTCATAATTAAATTTAAATCTTTTCAGATCCCTATGTGAAAATTCATCTCATGCAGAATGGTAAGAGACTGAAGAAAAAGAAGACAACTATTAAGAAGAATACTCTTAATCCCTATTACAATGAGTCTTTCAGCTTTGAAGTACCATTTGAACAAATTCAGGTAATCTAAAACATCACCTTAGAGCATCCAAACATGTTTTCTGCTTTGTTCTATTTTCAAACACATGTATTAAGGCTTTAAATTACCATATTCTTCATGTTCTCAGATGACCTTGAAAATGACTCTGCTGAATCCTACTTAAAACCTTATTAACTATGGATGTAGCGTTGAACAGGGTAAAACATGGGTGCAGGCTTTTTGCACTATTCAGTCACTTTTTACTAATTAGTGTGCCTTTTTATCTACCATTATATTAAAAAAGAAAGGTCTGAACTTTCCATCCTGAGCAATAAGTCATTATAGGAGTGCCAAACCCATACATGACATTGTGTTTAAATAATACAGGCTCTAATAAGAACATCAAGGACTAAATAGTAAGAGGTGTCCTGATAAATGTTATATGGATAAAAGCAAATGAGATTTTTCTTCTCTTCTCCGCGTCACATTTGACAGGTAATTTGCCTTATCATAATCTGCCTGCCATGGAATAGATATGTGATATGAATCCGTGGAGCTTTTTTCCAGATATGAAAACTGAAGAGTCATATATTCATTGTCATCAGGGATAACATTATATTGGTTGGTTCACAGAGCCAGAATATTCTCTTCATAGTTTTTTTTTTAAAGTGGATCTATCAATAAAACTCACACTTCAAATAAATGTATAAGGCATATGGCAACATTTCCAAGTCACATTACTATTTTGAGAAAATTCTACTTTCTTCCCATAACAAAGCTATTCCAGAGCCTAACCAGTCTAGGTCACATGGTCTCTGGCCACCAATCATTACTACAGAGACTCTAAGGACAATTCACAAAGCGGTATCTTACCACATATGCAGTAAGATAATTGTTTTTATTTTTTATAACTTTTTTTAAAAAAAAATTTTCATAATACACTGTGACCAGAGTAGTATAATGTTACCATAGTAACATTGTACTACTTTGGGGAAGTGATCAGTAATTTTTTTTTACACATTATGATTGCTTATAGCAAAGAATTTCTTTGCTATATGCAAGCATTTACCTGAATGAAATCTATTCATTCAGGTCTTTTGTTGTGATTAGATGTGATTGGCCATGGATAATCACATGACACAGATGGGCTGTGATTGGCCCAGTCTATACATGTGATCACTGTGATACAGCTAGTGACACGATTGTATACAATGGATGGCATGAAAGGAAGCCATCCATTGTTTACAATTGTCAGGTGACCTGCTGTGACTGGTCACAGCAGGTCAGGTGGTACTGACAGTGGATGGTACACAGATCTGTCATCAGCTGTGTCTGAGGTACACAGCCGGTGACAGATCTCGCCACAGCGCGGCCTTGCAGGCGAGTCCCGCTCGGCTGTCATCCTGCTATTTGCTGGGCGGGAACAGGTTAAGAGCAACCACCAAGCCAAATTTTTTATTTTAAAATGGTGTGGGGTCCCCTCCAAAATCCACATACATGTTGGTTGCTGTGCTGGGAGCACGCAGCAGTGAATGCATTCTCAGCACAGTAAATCGTTTACCAATAGACAGACATATGCAGATGCTCAGCATTAACCACTTAGTAATCACGCTATAGCCGAATGATGGCTACAGCGCGATTACCCAGTTGTAGGAGGGCGTCATAGGATGTCCTTCCAGAACACGCCCTCCCGTGCCCCCAGGGGTGCGCACCCGGTGATCTCTGTGATCGCTGTATCCTATGGACACAGCTGATCATGTGATGAGGTAAAAGGGCAATCACAGCGGCCTTATACCACGTGATCAGCTGTGTCAAATGAAACAGCAGATCATGGAGTAAATACAGTTGTAGGTTATCAGCAGCGCTTTCCTCACGCTGTCACAGTGTGAGGAAAATACTGCTGATAACCGTCAGCTGTCACAGAGCAGATCGGCATTGATCATTAGGGCACTGATGGTCTGTGCCCTGCAGTGCTGCCCAGCAGTGCCACCCATCAGTGCCCAGCAGTGCCACCCATCAATGCCACCCATCAGTGCTGCCCAGCAGTTGCACCCATCAGTGCCCATCAGTGCTGCCCATCATTACCCAACAGTGCCAGCCAGGGCTGTCAGTCAGTGCCTTCAGTCAGTGCCACCCGTCAGTGTTGCCCAACAGTGCCCATTAGTGCTGCCTATCAGTGCCCATCAGTGCCGCCTATCAGTGACCATCATTGCTGCATATCAGTGCAGCATAATTAGTGCCTCCTCATCAATGTCCACCAGTGCCGCCTCATCAGTGCCACCTCATCAGTGCAGCCTATCAGTGCCCATCAGTGCTGTCTATCCATGCCACCTCATCAGTGCCCATCAGTGATGCCTATCAGTGCAGCCTCATCAACGCACATCAGTGAAGGAGAAAAATTACCTGTTTGCTAAATTTTAAAATAGAAACAAAGAAAAACTTTTTTGCACTTTTTTGGTTATAGTGCAAAAAATAAAAAACCCAGTGGTGATTAAATACCACCAAAAGAAAGCTCTATGTGTCTGAAACCAATCATAAAAATTTCATATGGGTACAGTGTTGCATGACTGCACAATTTTCATTCAAAATGCAACAGCGCTGAAAGTTGAAAATTGGCCTGGGCACGAAGGGGTTATAAGGGCCCATTAGGCAAGTGGTTAAAGCCCACCCACCTAGAGGAAACATACAGTGGGGATCGAAAGTTTGGGCACCCCAGCTAAAAATTTGTATTAATGTGCATAAAGAAGCCAAGGAAAGATGGAAAAATCTCCAAAAGGCATCAAATTACAGATTAGACATTCTTATAATATGTCAACAAAAGTTAGATTTTATTTCCATCATTTACACTTTCAAAATAACAGAAAACAAGAAAAAGGCATCTGCAAAAGTTTGGGCACCCTGCAGAGTTAATTATCTTGTATTGCCCCCTTTGGCAAGTATCACAGCTTGTAAACGCTTTTTGTAGCCAGCCAAGAGTCTTTCAATTCTTGTTTGAGGTATCTTTGCCCATTCTTCCTTACAAAAGTCTTCCAGTTCTTTGAGATTTCTGGGCTGTCTGTCACGCACTGCTCTTTTAAGGTCTATCCATATATTTTCAATTATGTTGAGGTCAGGAGATTGTGAAGGCCATGGCAAAACCTTCAGTTTACGCCTCTTGATGTAATCCCCCATGGATTTCGAGGTGTGTTTAGGATCATTATCCATTTGTAGAAGCCATCCTCTCTTTAACTTCAGCTTTTTCACAGATGGCATCAAGTTACCATCCAAAATTTGCTGAAATTTTATTGAATCCATTTTTCCTTCTACTCGTGAGATGTTCCCTGTGCCACTGGCTGCAACACACCCCAAAGCATGATTGATCCAACCCCATGCTTAACAGTTGGACAGAGGTTCTTTTCATTCAATTCTGTGCCCTTTCTTCTCCAAACGTACCTTTGCTCATTCCGGCCAAAAAGTTCAATTATAACCTCATCGGTCCACAGAACTTGTTTCCAAAATGCATCAGGCTTGTCTATATGTTCATTTGCAAAGTTCAAACGATTATTTTTGTGGTGAGGACGTAGAAGAGGTTTTCTTCTGATGACTCTTCCATGAAGACCATATTTGTACAAGTATCTCTTTATAGTGGAATAGTGTACCACAACTCCAGTGTCTGCCAGATCTTTCTGGAGGGATCGTGCAGTCAAACGTGGGTTTTGAATTGTTTTTCACACAATCCTGCGAGCTGTTCTGTCTGATATTTTTCTTGGTCTTCCAGATCTTGCTTTAACTTCCACTGTTCCTGATGACTGCCATTTCTTAATTACATTCCGAACAGAGGATATTGACATCTGAAAACGCTTTGCTATCTTCTTATAGCCTTCTCCAGCTTTGTGAGCGTCAACTATTTTCAGTTTCAGTTTTCTAGACAACTGCTTAGAAGAACCCATGGTGCTGATTGTTGGGGCAAGGTCAGATGAGTCTGGGCATTTAAAACCTTTGAGACTGACATCACCTGGTCTTCCCAGACGATGATTGAGAACAATCCATGACACTGGCAGGTCTCAGCTTGGCAAAGGGGGCAGTGCATGCTATAAATTCTGCAGGGTGCCCAAACATTTACAGACACCATTTTTTTGTTTTCTGTTATTTTGAAAGTGTAAATGATGGAAATAAAATCTAACTTTTGTTGACATATTATAAGAATGTCTAATCTGTAATTTGATGCCTTTTGGAGATTTTTCCATCTTTCCTTGGCTTCTTTATGCACATTAATACAAATTTTTAGCTGGGGTGCCCAAACTTTTGATCCCCACTGTATGTGTGCCATGTCAGCTGGAAGAGGTTATTCTTTATTGAGATGTGAAGATCCAAAAGCTTCCCCTTTTAAACAGATGATTGCAAACTATGAATTTAACCATTTAATACATTCATTTTCCTATAGCTATAAATAACTTACCTGCCTAAATATTTTTTATGTTTTTAAGACATATACAATTTTATTTTGACATATACGATTTTTAATTTGTAAATTGCTTACATTGATGATATTTTAGGCTGTACACAATTTATACTTACCGCTTTTAATTATTTAAATATTATTTAATGTTATTTAAATGTTTCAGTTTTTGTACAGTCTGTATTTCACTTTAGGAGCTGCAGCCTGCCAGCTTCAGCTGTCAATGTGCCTCTTCTTGTGTGAAGCACAATGACAGCTGAGGCAGCAGGTCTGTTTTATATACAACCCATGTGATCACTTTGATTGGCTTATAATAACAAAATGAGGGCCCGCTCAGTGTGGTCCCAAATTAATGCAAGATCAGTAGTGTCAGAGACAATGCAGTCCCTAAACTAGTTCCAAAACTGAATGTAGATTACCATTCATTCAGCAAGAATTTGGCAGTGACCGTGTGTCCAGATTGCAAGTGGCAAGCAGTTAAACAAAGTGTTTACTACATGATCATACATTGATAAAACATACATTTGATTCATCTGTTTTATACATGTGCCCAAAAACTTTGAAAACACTATAGTTCCCATTCTATAGATCCTCCAACATTACCCATTCCGTAGATTATATGATATAACCTTATGTAATCTACTTTTGAAAAAAGCTGGTAAGTGATTTGAAACAGAAAGGTAAAAGATGACCAGTAGTAGGGTATTCTGTACTTTATGGAATGGGTCGTTGTTGGCAATTGGGTTCATTAATAAAGAAGCAGAGACCATTCACTTAGCAAAATGAATGTTCACAAGCCATCCATTTTTTTTTTATCCTTTGTCCATGACCAGGTATTCAAAGTGAATATATATTTTACTAAGGTAAATTAAAACAACAAAGAGAACAGGATGCTTTTTCATACACGTACATGGTACAGCTAATGCATATCAAGAATATGAAATGTTGGGTTTAAATACTGTTTAACTATTGCTTAGCAGGAGGTTAACTACACTGACTAAACCAGAAAGGTTGGCTAGTAATAGATATGTTTTAAAAGTTTAGCTATACTAAACTATACTAAATGTGTTAGATGTGTTTTTTTTTCTTTAGATGCTCATATTTATTTCCTTTCTTTATAGAAAGTGCAGGTGGTTGTGACAGTTTTGGACTATGACAAGATTGGCAAAAACGATGCTATTGGAAAGGTGTTTGTAGGATATAACAGCACTGGCGCGGAACTTCGGCATTGGTCAGACATGTTGGCCAACCCTCGACGACCCATTGCACAGTGGCACACTTTACAACCTGAGGAGGAAGTAGATGTAATGCTTGGAGTGAAGAAATAAAAACAAATTCAATCTGCTGTTGCCCACATAGTGCTCTTTAGCCAGTATATGTAAATACCTCAGTAGTATGGGTCCTTTCATGTCTTTCAATGCATACCTGATTCAGGTCATTTGTACCTAATTCATTTTATTTGCACAAATTTAAATGTCCTTCTCCAAAAGAAACCCAGTTGTGCACCACAAATTGCCCTCTTACTCTTCTTTTAAGCAATATGATGTGTAGATAGAGCATGAATCAATTTGTTGTTAACACACTCTTGTATATAACAGTATGCCAACATTGATTTCTAGTCCGTGTATTTGTATGTTGTAAGCGTTTCTTATTATGTGTATACTTCAATGTTTTTAATAAGATGTTCTATTTTAAAAGAAAATGTAAATTGACTAAATATAGAAGAGCTGATAATATTACAGGTTATTGTATCGCCCACATTCCAGGAGAAATTCCAACTTATAAGGCACTAGTAAAGTTGCACTGACATCTTAAAGGACAACTTAAATCTAAGGTTGGCCAGATACATTTGAATACAAGACAGGCAACATTCCACATTTTCAAGTTCATATACGTGTAGATTACAGTCAGGAGCAACAAAGTTTGATCAGATAAAAATGCATGACTGTCCTCAAGAGATCTGGTCACTAGATGCCATGCTATCGGTGTATATATATATATATTAATGTGTTGAAAAAACCAAAGCTAAAATTGCATTTGTTAGATATGAGCGAATGGGTTGCAAATATATATATATATATATATTATATATATATATATATATTGGAATGGCTAGTGCCAAGATGATTATGACATCTCATGATATATGCTGACAACCCTCACTCAATTCTGTAAATTTTAGCTTTACATAGAATGTACATCTTGTGATTTATCCATGTGTTTTACACATGACATATTTCATATATGTGTGTGTTTGTTGTGAAAAAAAAAAATCTTGTGATAATGACAGATTGTGAGGCATACTGAGCATTGCTGGAAAGCATCGTGCAATGAATACACAGTCATGTCTTCATAGTTAACAAACAGTATTGTGACTCTCTCTCTCTCTCTCTCTCTCTCTCTCTCTCTCCCCCTCGCTCTATCTATCTATCTATTATATATATATATATATATAAAAAGACTAAACTAATTTAGCCATAATTCTGAATGCACTTCAAGTAAGCCAAAACAGCTAGTGACCTTTTTTATATATATTTACTATTTGTATAATGAGTTTTAATTTGTCCTTTAAAAATGGTATAAAACAAAGAACAAGTGCTAGCAAACTGGAGCACCCTCTTGTGTATACTAGATGCTCATTTCAGGAGGAGTTTTTAAATGTTTTCAATGTTATTATGTAGTAAATGGCACTATTATGAAGCTATTAGTCATTCCATAAGTCTTAAACGACTGCTCTGTGTATCACTGTGACTGCCGTGTGTGCTTAGATAAAACTTAGTTCTCTCAGTGAATAGCAATCAATTAATTCTATAGTGATATTGTACTGATACTGCCATCTCTTTCTACTGCACTGCTGCAGGAGAGCATAGCACAA